CAGCATCACTCCTCCCTCTCTATACCTCACGTCCATGGTGGCAGCAGTGACCTTGTCCTGAGGGCACGCCTCTGGTCACTGGGCAAGGCTGCCCTAGCCCTCTTCCTGCTATTTGTCCCAGAGGTAAATATCGCTAGTCAGTGCAGCCTTTATCAATTATGAGAGCATGATCAAATTAGAAAATAATTAATCATTCATAGTACTCATGGCTCCGCATCTTAAAATCCTAACTTACATAAGCAGGACTGTGCCTTGCGGAATTTCCTTCAAATCATAGCTCCTTCACTTGATTTTTCCCCGCCCAGAATTGCCTATGTAAAGTATAATACAATAATAATGAGCTAACATTTTTGTAGCACCTTAAGGTTTTCAAAGTACTTTACAAATGTTATCTGATGTGATCATAAAGGCAGACATTATTATCTCCATTTTATAGTTGAAGAAAGTGAGGCAGACAAAGGTTAAGTGACTTGCACAGTCTATAAGTACCTGAGAGCTGATTTGAACTCAGGTCTTTCTTGACTCCATGCATAGGACTACCCAGCACAAATACCTCTTGCCTGGGTCCCCCCAGAGGGGAGTAAAGGATGCTCAGATACTACATGAGCATTGAAGGTAACAATGCATGTCCTAGGTACAGGACAGACTTCATTCCCCCCATCCCCTAAAATGCAGAAAATATATAAAAAGTCTCACAATAACATGTAAATTCTATTCCTCCTTTGCTGAATCTGTTTCCAGCCCCTAGGGGTGCTCGGGTCCTCTGGCCTAACAGTCCCTCCATGTGGCTTGGGCTGCCCTCAGAGGTGAAATCAACTTGATGCTGCATTCTGCTGAGTCCTTCCTTTCATCCCGTCAGCCTATACAGGCAGCCAGCATCTCCTGGCTTAAATCCTCCCAGAGGGAAACACGTCTGTGGGTGCATCCTCCCAGTAGCTCACAGTAAGAGTAGGGGGCAAAGTCTGGGTCTTCCATGGCTTAGCCTGGCGAGTCCCTGCAGCTTTGGGGACCATCAGGTTGACTCTCTTCTCCTCTAAAGAGGCTGCCACTGCTTCTGTCTCTGAAAGGCCACATTCTGGGACTCCGGAAAGAGAATCCCTAAGGCTAAAATTCCTTCTTCTATGAGAAGACTTGGTTCTGGAATCAGATGCTACCCAGGAAATTCCCTTCTCTTAGAGTCTAAACTCCTAGATATTGAACTTAGGATTGCCAGAGGCAACTCCCGAGGCTGCTGGCACCTGGGAAATATCCTTTCTGCTTCTCAAAAGCTACTGCCTGGCTCTCTGTTCCAGTAACCTCTCCTTCTCCATCCAGGAAGCTCAGTGCCTGAACAATGTGGTCCTCCTCTCTAGAGCTGCCATCGGCTGGGGAGTACGTGTACCTCTACCTCTGTAGGGTTCAACCCAGACACTCGTCATCCAGTAGCTGCCAGGAGTCCACCACTGCCTCACTACTCTCATCTCTGTGGCTAAAATGGTCACAGTCAGGAGACAGGAGAAGCAAGGCTTGAATGGGAGTCCTTCTGACTCCAGCCTGGCACTCCCTCCCCTCATAATGGAGGTGCATCAGGCCACATTCCTGGGCCTCTCTGAACCATGCAGGCTTTTGATGTTTCTACACTGACTGCCTTTGGAGGAGCACGTTTTTACTATATGTTTACTACGCAGAAGCAAAGCTCCTTCCTTCCCTGTTGCCATAGATACCATCCAAGGGGTTGCATTGTGACAGGAGGGCTTCATTCACACCTTCGATTAGAATCCCGTCCTGGATACTGAGCACTCTTTTCTCACCTGCTGGAGACTTTTCTTAAAGCACCATTTCTGCTATGCACATTGTACCCCAGTGCACTATGCAACAACCTAAGAATGCAGGTCTGCACCAGACATCTGAAGAGTTGGGACTGTCCCTTGATATCCTGGAGCATTCCAAGAGGCCCCTATCAGACGGCTGGTGTGAGCACACGCAGTCGGGCTCTGGAGTAGGTCTTCGTACATCAACAAATGAGGAGATGACTGGATCGCCCATCCGTGTGTAGGTACCAACGTCTGCCGACACCAATTTCTGCTGAGTCCTGTTTCTTCTCTCTGGAGTCTCCCTCCTGGTCTCAATCGGCTTTTCCCCAGGAGCCCAGGCTGTGAGCTATGTCATGGGACACCCCATTCCCTCATATACGTCCTATGCCACTGCAGAGTCTTTCAATATTTGGTAAAGGAAAGAGGGAATCATCCTCTCTCCAAGTGAGATTCCTGGTTGATGAATGATTTACCCCTCGTGCCCATCAAAACACATCGGGGCGTGGCATCCTTGAAAGCCAAGGAGATGTAATACACACGCTCATAACACGTGGGGGCCCTGCTACTTCAGGCAAGGCGTTTAACCTCTCTGCGCCTTCAGCAACTTCACAAGAGTCTAAAGTGATTGATACTATGTAACAACAGCCAACATGTAGATACAACTACTGTGTGCTAGGCACTGTACCAAGCACTTAATTATTATTTCTCTTGATCCTCACAACAACCTGGGAGGTGGATGCTATTATTATCCCCATTTTACAGATGGGGAAGCTGAGGCAGACACAGGTGACGTGTCACACAGCTAGTAAGTGTCTGAGGCCAAAGTTGAACTCATCTTCCCATCTCCAGGCCCAGCAACGTAGCACCACCTGGCTGCTAACCGATTGCTCTGTATGGAGAGAGAAAGGAGAGAGGGAGAGAGACGGAGGGATGATAGAGACAGAGAGAGATGACGGATCTAGGACAGATGGAAGACAGATAGATAAGCAAGTAGACAAAGGCACATACATATTATTTGCTTGATTTGAAAAAGCCCTGGATAAAGCAATTGGAGTCTGGAGATCTGGGTTCAATAACTGCCTCAGATACTTACTGTATGTCCTTGGGCAAGTCACTTAAACTTCTCCAGGCCTCAGTTTCCTCATCTGTAAGATGGGGAGTTTGGACTTAATTACCCGTCAGGTCCCCCCAGCTCTACATTGATGTCCGGGGGATGCCATCCCACATGATGGCTGGTGCTGAATTCATGAAATTATAAACAGATGCCCAGAGTTTGGTGATGCTTTAGGATGCATATTTTTAATTGGCCAGAAAAATGACCCCTCTTCATTTTGGTTGCTTGCTTCATTTTCAGCCTGCGGCCTTGCCCTTGTGAGGCGATGAGCACTCATCAGTGCTGCTGCGGCTGAGGCCGAAGTCCACCAGGGAAAGGCGGCACGGGGGCAGGAGACGAGGGTGGAGGGAAACCCACCCTGGGCTGGGAGGAAGGCACGCGCTCCGGCCTTTAACTCACTTGCGGTGCTCACTGAGCTCAGCCAGAGCCGAGCAATGAAGGGGAGCAGAAGCTTTTTATGAAATGTATTAATTGTAAGCTAATTAAAGGATAAACATCCAGAAAGGCCCTGAAAGTCCTGCCTCCAAATGGTGACTGTCCTGAGCCCAAATATCTAATAACCAGGCCTTAAGTCCTGTGAACATAGGAAGGGGATTGCAGAGAATTACATTAACCAGAAGAGATGAGGTAGGTGCAATTTTTCCTGAGGCAGAAGACAGATTAAATGAGCCGTTCTTGCAAACGGGTGGTGTGTGAGTGACTTGGAACCCAAGCCGCTAATGTCCTCTGGTAACACCCTGGGTGAGAAGGACTGGCACCTCCCCAGAGCTTCCCCTGTAGGCAGTGAAAACAATGAAGCACCTACTATGGACCAGGCACTGTGTTAGGGGCTGGGGATTTGAAGACAAACAACTAGAGTGAAACCTTCCTCCTTTCTCCATCACCTCACTTGAACTTCACAACAACCACTCTGAGGCAGGTACCTAGTTATTGAGATTTGCATTTTACAGGTGGAGAAACTGAGGCTCAGAAAGACGAAGGCACGGGCCAAGTTCATAGAGCTCACGGGGGTCAGAGGAGGGATTTGAAGCCAGATGGACCTGGCTGCAGCTTAATCCTTTACTCCATGCTGCCTGAGTGCTGACCTACAGCCTTGTCACCAATGCCTCCAACATCAGCCTGACACACAGTAGGTTAGATCAGCCTGGCACATAGTAGGTTGTTGTTTGGCCGCTTTTCAGTCATGTCCAGCTCTTCACGACCCCACTGGGGTTTTCTTGGCAAAGACATGGGAGAGGTTTTGCGATTTCCTCCTCCAGCTCATTTTACAGCTGAGGAAACTGAGGCAGACAGGTTGAAGTCACTTGCTCTGCGTCACACAGATAGGAAGGGTCTGAGGTCACATTTGAACTCAGGTCTTCCTGACTCCAGGTCTGAGCCCTATGCACTATGGCGCCCCCCAGCTACTCTACATGGAAGGTCTTTAATGCTTGCCTAGTGACTGCCTGGTCCCTGTTTCCAAGATCTTTAATTTCACATTCATTCAAACCCCCCAGACGCCAGCGTGGCAGGAAGGGTCTCCTCTCGGGATCTAGAAGTACACAGGGGCTTCCTCACGTGGGTGGTGACGTGCTGTGCTTAGGTGAATGACCGGAAGGCTGAATGAGCAGCCTCCCTAGACTGGCTCCTGCAGAAGGTGGGATTTTAACTCAGGCTTGATGAAGGTTAGGGAAAGTCAGCACAAGGTGAAGGGACAGAGCATTCTACCCATGAGGGATAGCCAGTGAAACTGCTCAGACATGGGAAATAGCAGCTGCTCAGCCCTTGCTAAAAGTCCATCCTAGACAGACTGCTCACTCCATGAACAAGCCGGTGCTTGGTATAGTAGGTGCTTAATGTTTGCTGAATTGAAATTGAGTTGCAATGTGGCCCTCCACATGTGGTGTGACCCCAGAGAAATCTCAGCATCTGCTGGTGTTCTCTGGGCCTGGGGCAGACCTCCCACTACTGACAACTGTAAGGTCACAACAGTACCAACTCAACCAGACTGAGTTTGGTCAGGTGGGGAGGGAGGGATGAGGCCAGAGGCTGGGGAACGATAAAGACGCTGCTGGGACCTGTTCCTGGTCCCCAGCACCTTCGGGAACTCTTACCTCCTGTGTTTTCACGTGTGTGTAGCCATAGTGAGTCCGGAGGGGCCGCCTGTGTGTGGAGGAGAAGGGAAGCCACTTGGCACTGGACTGTCCCAAACAGCTGAGCACCAAAGGGAGGTCTACTTCATGGAAGAGTCGCAGGATAAGCAGGAACAGAAATGCTACTAAGAAACTCACAGCAATCACGGACTTCCTCTGGAAATTCAAAAATAAAGAAGGCAAAATTAATAATAATAACATATGCACATGTGTGATATATCTGCATATCTATCCAGATGGATGGAGAGATAACTAGACAGAGATACAGATCACCATAGGGTTTGCAAAGAGCTTTGCAACTCTAAACTCCTTGGATCCTCACAACTGTCCTGGCAGAGGGCGCCATTTTAATCCCCACTGTGCGGTGTGTACAAGCTGGACACGGAGGTCCCTCCTAGCTCTAACTCTGGGACACCATGATGCTTTCCACGAGAATACAAAGTGGGGATGGACAGATATGAGGCAATTTGAGGAGAGAGACAGCACTGACCACTGGGGGCATCAAAGAAGGAGGAGGTGACTGGTCCAGGCAGCCAGGTAAGGAGGTGACAGATGTCAGAAGGGTCAACAAACCAGCCCAGACCCTGAAGGCAGGGGCAAAGCAGCCCCCCCAAAGAACAGCTATGGACTCTCTCGATGCCCATCCGAGGACCTCTTGTCCAACAAGCAGCTCCTTCAAGGACATTCCAGGGGACATTTACCCAGAATCCTAGAATACTCAGTACCAGGCTCTGGTAGCTTTTACTGCTACTAAGACTGGCTTGGGCTCCAGCTACAAAGCCTTCTAGTGCCTTGCCAAATCCAGTGATGGTGAGCAGCCACACATAAATAATGTATACATGAGAGAAAATAAAACAACCATTTTGAGAGAAACTTCAAACTTGAGTGGGAATGACAGTTGTGAAAGCCTGCTCCGTGGTAATCCACGCCTGCCCTGAGGGTTCCATCAAAGGGAGCTGAGTAATGAGGACCCGTGAGGAGTAGGGCCGCAGCAGGAACAGAGCGTGGCACCTCCTCTTCTTCCAGCCTGGCTGGGCTTTGATTTCCCCCAGACCAGACAGAGCTCCCCCCTCTCAAGCAGAGTTTTTGATCTGAGTTCTAGTTCTTTTCTTGGCCTTGGTGTGTGTGTGTGTGTGTGTGTGTGTGTGTGTGTGTGTGCGTGCATGCACGTGTGTGCACACACACATACTCATGTGCAATACAAACCAGAGTTCAGGTCATGAAAGTGCCACCACTACAGAGACACAACTACCCTAAAATGACATTTCCCAACTTCTAACCAACTGAGGAATGTGGGTTGTCATTTCTACCCCCGGGGGGATGTGGTCTTCTTGATGCCTGAGCCAGAGTGAAGAAAAGGGTGACATTGTAGTTAAAAGAGAGGATCTGCTGAGACACGGCAGCTGCCTCTTCAGATGGGGCCTCTCACACTGGGACGGTCCTAGCAAAGAAGGCCAAGGGCTTGTCCTTACTTCCAGAGAATCAGTCCCCCCAGAGAAAGATGACTCACATTAACCCCAGTACATCCACAGGTACAAAAATATTTATAGCAGCTCTTTTTGTGGTGGCAAAGGATAGGAAATTGAGGGGATGCCCATCCATTGAGGAATGGCTGAACAAGTTACAGTATACGTATGTAATGGAATACCATTGTTCTATAAGAAATGATGAGCAGGAGGATTTCAGAAAAACTTACATGAATTGATGCCGAGTGCAGTGAGCAGAACCAGGAGAACATTGCACACAGTAACAGCAACATTGTGTGATGATCAACTATGACTGACTTAGCTCTTCTCAGTGATAGAATGATCCAAGGTAATTCCAAAAGACTCAAGATGGAAAATGCTATCCACATCCAGAGAAAGAACTATGGAGTCTGAATGAGATTGAAGCAGACTATTTTTCTTTTCTTTGTTGTTTTTGTTCTTTCTCATAGTTTTTCCCTTTTATTCTGTTCTTTTCTTTCACAACACGACTAATGTGGAAATATGTTTAATATGATTATACATGTATAGCCTATATCAGATTGTTCACTGTCTTGGGAAGGGGGGAGGGGAAGGATGGAGGAAGGAGAAAATTTGGGATTCAAAATCTTATAAAAGTGAATGTTGAAAACTATCTTTACGTGTAATTGGAAAAAATAAAATACTATTAAGTGGGAGAAAAAAAAGAAGTCAGGCACACCTGCAGGAGAAGGGGGTGCTCAAGGCAGGGCTGCTTCCCCTCTTCTGTGTCCTGGACCTCACGGACAGTCAGCTTGGGTTGGGCCTATGGGCCCCTTCTCAGAATCATAAAACAAAATATATAGGCTCAACATTATAGTGACATATAGTTATTCTTTTTTTCCCCAAGTTTACAGATTCCAGTTTAAAATTTTCTGCTTTAAGGAGCCTGGAAATTCATTTCTTCCTTCATCCATTCCTTCAACAGGTACCCCCTAAGCACTTCCTCCATGCCTAACTAGCTGGGCCCAGAATGAAACAGAAGAAGGATGGCTGATGGATTTCTTTCCACAATTTCAAAGCTCTCTTACTGACCCCAAACTTCTCTCAGAAACAAAGCTTAACCTTCCTGCCCACATTCTGCCAATGGTGTCATGGGGGCACCACAGCCTCAAAGGAGCTCTCCCATTCCTCCAGAGTAGCAGAGGGAGGGGGGAAGGGTGGATCAGTTATGTATGGAGGGCAAGGGATGACTATTGGATGGTGGGCCCACCCTGCTAGGAGAGAAGAAAGCAAGGGAGGCCCCTCCTGTTGGGCAGACTCCTTATGGTGAACTTATGGGAATACATGGATAGGAGTCCCATGGAATGGGCAGCATTGGGGAGAATTTCCAAACTGATGATTCAGAGTATTGATTGTACATCAGACGCTTTCCTAGGACCGGAGACTCCAGGACAAAAATGCAGCCTTCCCTGTACTTGAAGAGCTTTCCTTCTGCTTTGGGATGGGGGACAACATGCACCCAGATAAGTAGGCATAAGATGTCTTCAGCAGTCATCTGTCCCCCCCAACCCAAAGCACGGGAGTCTAAAGCACCAGCAGGGCCACATTCCCTCACCCCGGGAGTCAAGGCTCCCCAAAGGCTCACACTCCAAAGTGCCAGGGCTTAAAATCCTCTCAAACTCAGGAAGATGAACTCTGAAAATCCTCTAACAGAAGCATGCCACAGGCCACCGGCTTGCCCATCCTGATTGCAGAGGCATGGGACCCATCGATTTAGAGGCATCAAGCCCAAACCTTTTACTGTACAGATGAAGAAACTGAGGCTATGACAGACTGAGTGACCGTCCTAAAGCCGCATAGCTTGTGAGCCAGGAGACAGGCCCCACCTTCAGGGCAAGCAGTCCATCACTATGCCACCAAGCTGCCCACAAATGCTCCCATCTGCATGGTGTCACCTCCGTTCACTAGAAACAGTGCTCTGAACTCTTACTGCACACAGCTGGTCAGGTCAACACACACCACCCTGGCATTTTCCTTATACTGTCACACTTGTGTCTATGTGTCACTGTTATTGCCCAGTCATTTTGTGTACAACTCTTTGTGACCCGATCTGGGATTTTCTTGGCAAAGATACTGCAGTAGTTTGCCATTTCTTTCTCCAGCTCATTCTAGATAAGGAAGCTGAGGGAAACAGGGTGAAGTGACTTGCCCAGAGTCACACAGCTAGTAAATGTCTGAGGCTGGATTTGAACTCAGGTCTTCCTGACTCCAGGCCCAGATCTCTATCCACCCACCTGCCCCAGTCTACATACCCCATCTATAGAAGGCACCATGGCATAGAAACAGTGTTAGACTTGGAATCCAGAAAACCTGGAGACACATCCCATCCCTGACACCTGTTAACATGAGCATGAGTAAGACCCACCCTCTTGTAACCCCAGTTTTTTTTTTTCATTTGTAAAAATACTAGCTTTACAGGGCAGTGAGATGGTACAGGGGATAGAGCACCAGGCCTGGAGTCAGGAGGACCCGAGTTCAAATCCGGCCTCAGACCAGATACTTGACACTTACTAGCTGTATGACCCTGGGCAAGTCACTTAACCCTAACTGCTTCACCAAAAACATACACCACACTAGCTCTAGAAGCTCAGAATACAGTGTGGTGGCCTGGCCTTGGAGTAAGGTTGGCCCAGGTTTCAAGTGCTTCCTCTGACACAAAATGGGCACATGGCCATGTACAATTTGATTAAACTTTCAGTGTCCCAGGCCACTCTTTAAGACCAAAAGTTACAGAGATGTTGCTGAGGAAGGTGCTACCCTAGGAGTCTGCCACACTAGGGTGAAATGATAAGCATAGCTCAAAAAAAAAAATAAGGGGAAAAAAACCCAACCCAGAAACTTCCTCATATACTCTTTGTGAATCTCCAATGAGATAATGAATGTGAAGTGCTTTACAAGCTATAAAGGGCTAAATAAATGTCAGTTACCATTACATCCACAAATATGAGACTGTGCTTTCGAATTACACAACCGAATTACAAGGAATTCATCATTCCCAAGGAGTAATTAATTAAACAGCTCACTGAAAGTTGTGTGAAATACAGAAACATAAGAGCCAATTTAGGGCTGGGAGGGATGGAGCAGTTGCCATCTTGCCCCAGAAGGCAGATGTTGGGGGAGATGGCTGAGGTCACTGAGTCCAACCAGTCCCTGAGTACAAACGCCCTCTCCACCAGGCTCACAGAGCTTCTGCTACCAGAGGGAACCCTCTACCACACTGGCACATTTATGGCACCCAGTCTACCTGCACTTCTACCTTCTGTGGGGCTCCTGGTTGTGCCCTCAGAGGCTGAGCAGAATAAGGCTGGGCCCTCTTCCACCTGACAGGCCAAACACTTGGAACACATCCTCCCTAAGTGTCTTCTCTGGCAGGGCTCCCCCTCTCTCCAAATTACTTAGTGGCCATTTGGATCTACTTCTCATGTTTTCCTATCTGTGTATGTAGGTTAGATTTTCCCATTAGAAAGTAAGCTCCTTGAGGAGACTGGTCTGCTTCTGGGTTTTCTTGTGCAGTTGTCAGTCTGTTTGTTTTCCCTTTTTATATCTAGAAGCTAGTATGGTGTTGTACCTGAGGTATTGGACTGAAGCGAATATCTGTGAAATTAATCTCCCCATTATGACATCAGACACTCAAAGAGGGGCTGAAATTCC